CGTGATTTTTTTTCTGCCACTGGAATTATATTTCAAACTTCTTGTGTGGGAACTCCTCAACAAAATGGTAGGGTTGAGCGGAAACATAAACATATTCTCAATGTAGCGAGAGCTTTGCGATTTCAAGCTAGTTTGCCAATTTATTTTTGGGGAGAATGTGTTCTTGCGGCCGCACATCTGATCAATCGGACACCAACACCATTGCTTGATAACAAAAGTTCCTATGAACTTCTCTTTGGTAGTCCTCCATCTTACAACACAATTCGTGTTTTTGGATGTCTATGCTTTGCTCACAATCAAAAAGCAAAAGGCGATAAATTTGCTAGTAAGAGTCGAAAGTGCATCTTTATGGGATATCCGTTTGGGAAAATGGGTTGGAAGCTGTATGATCTTGAAACCAAAGAATTTTTTGTTTCCCGTGATGTGAAATTTTTTGAGGATGTTTTTCCCTTTCCCCTCGCGGATACGGCTACCATTCCTCATGAAGAATTTGTTCATGAAGATTTTTCTGCAATCATCGATGAGGAGGAACCCAGCTCCACAAACGAGCCAAACCCTCAACCTGAGCCAAGATTTACACCCGAGCCAACCTCTCAACCTGAGTCAGACTCCATACCCGAGTTCAGCTCACAGCCTGAACAACACACTAGTAATCTTGTTCCGAATAACCAAGATCAGAATGTTGAGATGGGTCGGGGTATGAGAAATAAAGTTCCTTCAGTGTGGATGCGCGACTATGTTATTAATTCTACTGTTGTTAAAAGTCATCCTCCGTCACACCGTCTCCACAGTCTCCCTCAGGTACTCCTTATCCTTTAGCACATTACATTAATTGTGACAATTTTTCTCTGCCATACAGAACTTTTATGGCAGCAATTCTTTCTGAAAAAGAACCAAAATCTTTTAAAGAGGCGATGACACATAGCGGCTGGAAAGAATCTATGACAAATGAAATTCGGGCCCTCGAAAACAATCAAACTTGGACTCTTGAACATCTCCCACCTGGGAAAAGGGCTCTTGGGAGTCATTGGGTGTATCGAATCAAATATAATTCAAATGGGTCGATTGGAAGACTCAAATCAAGATTAGTGGTTCTTGGTAATCATCAGGAAGAAGGCATCGATTACACTGAAACTTTTGCTCCTGTTGCCAAAATGACTACTGTTCGTGCACTTCTTGCCATTGCAGCCTCTAAAAATTGGGAACTACATCAGATGGATGTGCATAATGCTTTTCTGCACGGTAATCTCGATGAAGAGGTGTATATGAAGCTTCCCCCAGGCTTTGAGGCATCCGATCCTAAATTAGTGTGTCGATTGCGCAAGTCCTTGTATGGATTAAAGCAGGCACCGAGGTGCTGGTTTGCGAAACTTGTTACGGCCTTGAAAGGGTATGGTTTCTTACAATCCTATTCCGACTACTCCTTATTCACCTTTACTCCGGGTGGAATTCAGATAAATGTACTTGTTTATGTCGATGATCTCATCATTTCTGGGAATGATTCTGCTGCTCTAAAGACATTTAAGGCTTATCTCAGCGATTGTTTTCATATGAAAGATCTCGGCACTCTAAAGTACTTTCTTGGTATTGAGGTTGCTCGTAGCGCTTCTGGACTGTTTTTGTGTCAAAGGAAATATACCCTTGATATTATTTCTGAAGCAGGATTGTTGGGGGCCAAGCCGGTTAATGTTCCTATTGAGCAAAACCACAAACTCGGCCTAGCTAGTGGCCCAATTTTTTCTAATCCGGCAGCTTATCAGCGTCTAGTTGGAAGACTTATCTATCTGGCCGTAACTCGACCGGATCTCGCATACTCTGTTCATGTGTTGTCTCAATTCATGCAAGAACCACATGATGAGCACTGGGAGGCAGCTTTGAGAGTTGTCCGTTATTTGAAAGGTACACCGGGTCAAGGGATTCTCCTACGAGCAGACAGTGATCTAACGCTACAGGGATGGTGTGATTCGGATTGGGCCGCATGTCCTACTACTCGGCGATCGCTTACGGGTTGGTTGGTTTTTCTTGGCCATTCTCCAATCTCGTGGAAAACAAAGAAACAAACTACTGTTTCTCGTTCTTCCGCAGAAGCAGAATACAGATCCATGGTAGCCGTTACTTGTGAACTCAAATGGTTAAAGGGCTTGTTGTTAAGTCTTGGGGTTCATCATCCCAAAACCATAAAGTTATTTTGTGACAGTCAATCGGCTCTTCATATTGCAAAGAATCCAGTCTTTCATGAACGCACAAAACACATTGAAGTGGATTGTCATTTTGTTCGCGATGGAATTAAAGATGGTTTGATCTTCCCTTCCTACATTCCTACCAATTCGCAATTAGCTGATATCTTCACAAAGGCTCTGGGGCAAAGGCAATTTGAATTTCTTCTTCGCAAGTTGGGCATTTCAGATCCGCATGCTCCAACTTGAGGGGGGGTGTTGAGATATTTGATGATATTAATCATCTAATTTAATTTTCATGTGTCTCTTGGGTTTTCCATATGTCTCTTGGGTTTCCCATGTGTCTCTTGGGTTTTCCATGTGTCTCTTTGTTTTCTTTGTATTCATTCTTCATCATCTTGTTGGCACTATAAATAGAGTGCTTGTATTGAGGTTTAGACAAGAGACAACATATAATCAATTCTCCATTTTCTTCTTATTTGTATTCTACACGATTTCAAGTCCGCTAATTCTGCTCTTCTGCCTTGTTCATTTTGTGCTTTTATATTGTTCTGTACTTTTGTTTTTAGCATTTCCTGATTGCGCATTTGATTTTTCTAAGTGTCTTGATATTCTATTTAATTATTTGATAGATGTCCCTGCTGTTGTTTGGTTTTGCTATTCTTTTGAGAACATTTCAAGTTCACAAAATTATTATCCCATCCATCTAGTATTTCCTTCCGCAAAAATTTTTTGAGAACGTTTCAAGTTCTTAAATTTATCATCCCATCCATTCAACATTCCCTTCCTCCAAAGATTTTTTAGAGCGTTTCAAGTTCTCAGATTTATCATCCCATTCATTCGATATTCCCTCCCACCAAAGATTTCTGAGAACATTTCAAGTTCTAAAATTTATTATCACATCCATCCAGTATTTTCTTTTGCCAAAGATTTTTGAGAACGTTTCAAGTTCTCAAATGTATTATCCCATCCGTCCAATATTCCCTTCAACCAAAGATTTTTTAGAACGTTTTAAATTCTCATATTTATCATCCCGTCCATCCAATATTCCATTCCAACAAATTTTATTTTTTTTTAGAGTTCAACCCGAGACGTATATAATATACATTCTCTATGGTGAAACTTTATTTATTTGTTTTAAGTTTCTTAACAAAATTTAATTCCTAATAATGATTTATACGTTATTTATACCCTGCACTTCGTAGGGAAATTTGGGTTAGGATTTTCCACTTGACTGGACCTCTAAGGTGCTACCGGTAAATGACTAGTGAGTAGTGAAAGAGGTGAGAGAATTGGTATATATTAGTTAGTTTTGATTGACATTGGAGGTAATCCCAATCAAGTTGGTCGAGCAGTTGGCAAATCAGAATTTTCTATTGGCATTCCCGGTTTTAACTGACCAACTAACTACCTTCTTATGATCCTTTGCCAGATAAAACAAGAGAATCACATGGCGTGATAATGCACCCAAAACGTTATTATAAATTAAATAAAAATATAAATATAAATATAAAAACATTGTCTTAGAATTAGCTATTGTGTTTGGGGTTTCTCTCTCGCTACTTTCGCGAGTTTTGCCTTATCTAAGGTTTTCTAACATTTTTTACCTTTTCTGGCCGCCGTATCCTTTCGTGTGCAACGTAGATGGAAACGAATGATATCTCGACTCTTTTTGTTAATCTCACATTAGCAGATATTGACGATGAGGACAACTCAGTACTAATACCAGATGCGCCACAGGACCATGCAGAGGCAGAAGAAGGGATTTACGTGGTAGGGCGTCTAGTCACGGAGAAGCCGGTGCGATTTGCGTTCTTCCAGGATACGATGGCCTCTGTCTGGAGGCCGGTAATGGGGTGAATACGCCTGAACTGTTACCCCGTCGCTACTTGTTCCGCTTCTATCATGAGGGGGATGTTGATCGTATTTTACGAGAAGGACCTTGGACTTATGAGTAGTGCTTGCTGATTATGAAGCGGGTTCAACCTGGTGAGGATCCTGAAACTATACCGCTAACTCATTCAGATTTATGGGTCCAGATACATGCTTTGCCAGCCGGCTTCCGTTCTAAATCAATTGTCTCGGCCATATGAGCCTTTCTAGGTGTGGTGGTAGAGCTAGATGACGCCAACTTTGATGGGGGGATGAGGACTTTCTATCGGGTAAGAGTTTCCCTTGATGTTGCGAGGCCCCTGAAGAAGCAGATGAAATTGAAATTGAAAAGAGACAATGCTGGGTGTGCTATTATTGACTTCCGATATGAAAGACTTCCCACGTTCTGCTTCCTGTGTGGAATGTTGGGACATGGGGATAAGTATTGCCATAAATCGTTGAACAAGCTGAAACCCAAGGCTGAGAAACCCTATGGTGTGTTGTTGAGGGTTGGGGGAAGAAGGGGTGTCCCAAAGAAGGAACAACAATAGATTTCACCGGAGACATTTGGAAGACGCCCGTCATGGACATTGCTGAGTCTAGTCTGGGCAAGAAGGATGGGGCTGAGGTGGATTCGGAGGGTGTACACGCTCAGGTTATGGTAGTCAGTGAACAAAAACGACGAAGGGTTGATGATGGAGGGGCGAGCCAACCATCTGAAACTTTGGTGATGGATTGGGAACCTACTATATCAAAAAACGGGAGGGAGGCGGGTCTTGCGGTGCAAGCCCGCCAAGAGTTATGAGTTTCATAAGTTGGAATTGTCGGGGGCTTGGCAACCCTATGGCAATTCGTGTCCCCGCGGATATCATCCGCACGAAGAGGCCGAAGGTGGTTTTTTTAATGAAGACGTTTGTGGATGGGCAACGGATGGAACCCATCAGAGTGCAGATGGGGTTTCATAATATGTTTGTTGTAGATGCGGAAGGACACCGAGGGGGTCTGGCATTACTGTGGCATGAGGCTGTTGATCTGGAAGTAACAGAGTATTCATCGAATCACATAGAAGTAACAAAGTATTCATCGAATCACATAGAAGTAACAGAGTATTCATCGAATCACATAGATACAACGGTAATTCTTGACACGGGTAGTCCTAAGTGGAGGTTTACAGGCTTTTACGGGTATCCAGAACAAACTCGAAAACGAGAATCATGGCAGCTCCTAAGAAATCTTGCATGAAGGAGCACTTTACCTTGGGTGGTTATGGGGGATTATAATGATATATTACATCAGAGTGAGAAGAGGGGACGCAATCCACGTCCAAATTGGTTGATCACGGGTTTCAGGGAAGCGGTAGCGGATTGCGGACTTGTGGACTTCGCGTTTACAGGTAATCAGTACACCTGGGAATGGGCCGTAGAACTCCAGACATGGTTGTAGAGAAGCTAGATCGGATCCTCACGTCGGACTCGTGGCTAACCCTGTTTGAGGGTGCAAGCGCGAGTTCCCTAGCATGCCCTTACAGTGATCATCTACCGCTTATTCTAACACCGGTAGATCGAAAACCAGGGGTACGTAAACGCAGGTTTTGTTTTAACAATATTTGGCTCTGGGAAGACCGTTGTCGGGAGATTGTTGATAATAGTTGGGGCCGTACTCTGGGCTTAAGTGTGTTAGATCGAATTGAGGCATGTGGACAGGACATTTGGAGGTGGGGGAGATCGTATAATAAAGAGTTTCAGCGTAATATAGATGGCTGCAAGGCTCGGTTAGAGAGGCTGAGGATGCGTCGAGATGTCGCAGGGTTGGAGCAGTATTCGAGGGTTAAAAGGCAGTGGTTGTCGTTGCTTGACCAGCAACAAGCGTATTGGAAAAAGCGTGCTAAAGAGCACTGGTACCGGGGTGGCGACCTTAACACAAGGTTTTTCCACAATTCGGTGCAAACGCGGAAACGACGAAATCTAATCAAGCAGCTAAGAAGAGATGATGGTAGTCTGGTGGATACGGTTGAAGCCATGGGGGAAGGCATGGGGGAGGTAATGGTCAATTATTTTATCAATTTGTTTACTACCTCTCACAGTGACATGGAAGGGGTCTTGGATTGTATAACATCTTGTCTTGAGCAATCCGAAAATGTGAAGCTGTTAAGAGTGGTTAGTGGGAGGAGGTGAGACGTGCGGTCTTTCAAATGCACCCGGATAAATCACCGGGGCCGGATGGGCTAGGACTAGGGTTTTTCCATCACTACTGGGATATCGTGGTAGGCGATGTTACGTTATTCTGTAGACAGTTTATCCAAACAGCTAAGTTGCCAGCTAAAGCTAATGACACTTTTATAGTGTTGATTCCGAAGAAGGCCAACCCAGATGTGATGAAAGATCTCCGACCAATAGCATTATGCAATGTGTTATATAAGATAGCGGCCAAAGTGTGTGCCAACCGTATGAAGTCGATGCTTGAGGGGCTAATAAATGGGGCTCAGAGTGCCTTTATTCCGGGGCGGTTATAACAGACAATATTATGGTGGCTTATGAAGCTCATCGATCATTATCTGAAACGGAAGACACGGGAAAAAAGGTGTGGCAGCGCTTAAAGTTGATATGAGTAAGGCGTATGACCGAGTCGAGTGGAGCTTTTTGAAAGGGGTCATGCTGAAGGTGGGTTTTTTCCAAAAATGGGTTGACATTGTGTTTGAAAAGGTCAGTTCAGTTAAATATCATGTACTGCATGAGGATCGGCAGTTTGGCCCAGTTGTACCCAGTCGGGGCCTCAGGCAGGGAGATCCGTTATCACCATATCTCTTCCTTTTTATTGCTGAAGGGTTGAGTGCGCTCATGGAACGACAAGTGGCTCGGAAAGTATTGCATGGTTTGTATGTTGCGCGAGGGGCACCCCCAATCTCTCATCTGCTATTTGCAGATGACTGTTTTCTGTTCTTTTGTGCAAACTCAGCTGAAAGTCTTAGGATGAGAGGAGTTTTGGAGGAGTATGAAAGGGCATATGGCCAGCAGATAAACTTTGACAAATCGATGATATGTTTTAGTTCGAATACGCAGCATCATGTCCGCAGTGAGGTAGCAAGTATTTTGGGTGTGGGCGAGGGGGATACATCTGAAAAGTATATGGGGCTACCTTCCCTGGTTGAGAGGAGGAAAAAGGAAATTCTGGGCTTCCTAAAGGGTAGGATCTTGAATAAAGTCCGGAGCTAGAATGCTAGATTTCTGTCAAGAGCGGGACGGGAGGTACTATTGAAGAATGTTATACAGGCACTACCCTCTTATGCAATGATGGTCTTTATGTTACCATCAGGCCTGTGTAAGGAAATTGAAACGATGATGAATGCGTACTGGTGGACGGGATCAATTGGAAATGGAAAAGGTATCCGTTGGAGGAGTTGGGATAGGTTATGCGCCCCCAAGAGCTGGAGGCATGGGTTTTCGAAGACTACAAGCAGTGAATAGGGCTTTCCTTGGTAAACAGGCATGGCGATTTCTAACGCGGCCTAACTCAATAATGACCCAGATTTACAAGGCACGCTACTTTCCTACTACTTCGTTTTTTTATGCAGAAATTGGGAATAATCCCTCGTATATCTGGAGGGGAATGATGGAGGTTCAGGATTTGTTGAGAAGCGGGTGTAAGCGATGCATCGAGGATGGGAGAACAACACGGATAGGCGTGGATCCATGGCTACCAGATGCCATTAATCCCTTTGTTGAGACTCAGCTGCATGAGACTATTAAAACAGCCCCGGTCTATTTTCTTCTAAATATGCGGGGCACGGGATGGGACTTTGACTTATTGAATGATGTGTTCGATCAGAGGGATGCTAAGCTGATTGTGAACATTCCCATTAGCAAGAGAACACCACCAGATACGTGGACCTGGGCGCCAGATACTAAGGGCAACTATACTGTGCGATCATGTTACCGGAAGCAGATTGGAGAGCAGAATGATGCACGGCCCTGGGTGAAAATCTGGAACTTGGAGATCCCTCCAAAGGTGAGAATTTCTGCTGGCAACTTGCTTCTCTTTTCATTCCAACCCGTGACGTGCTGCTGGGTAGGCGTGTGGCTTGTGCGCTAATGTGCCATTTGTGTCACCAACAGGATGAGTCGGCCATCCACCTATTTGCAACATGTTGTGAAGTAAGGAAGGTTTGGCAGGCTGTTAATCCGCAAGTTACAACTCCAGTACATGGTAATGTCTCTACTTGGTTTTTCGAAAATGTTGAATCTTTGAATGGGGACCCTTTGTGTAAGTTTGCTATGGTCTGTTGGGGTTTGTGGTGCAGTCGGAACGATTTTGTGTGGAAAAATATTCAGTATTCCATGGATGCAATGATGCGAACTGCTTTGTCTTTGTGGCCGAATTGGAGGAGTTTAATGAGGGGCAGGAGCATTGGCTGAGAATGACAATTGGAAACCTCCGGCACCGGGTCGTCTCAAGCTGAACACTAACGTTGGAGGAGTTTAATGAGGGGCAGGAGCGGAGCAATGGGAATGGGGTGGATATTGAGAGATGGCGATAGTGTTGTTACTGCGAAGAGTTCTGTGCATGCGGGTTAAGGAAGCTGAGGCCATAAGTGTCCTGCGAATCGTGTTGCCCATACTCTAGCAAGGAGAGCCGTTTATTTGTCAGGAATATTCTTCGCTCGATGTTAATATATTGAGATTTGAGCCCAAGTCTCCACGACCACAATATAGAATTCTTACCACTAAACTACAACCACTATTCGGTTTTATGTCTCTTTGTTTTAGTTAATCACTGCTTGTAATGCAGATTAGGAAGACTAAGCCCCACGTGCATATGCATGTGAGATGATGGCAGTAAAATATAATAATGGTAATTGTAATAATATAATGAATAAAATAAGCTAAGACCTCCTTTGTTATGCTTTTGACGAATGAAGTGATGGATTTTGAGGATTTCTTTCTCCTGCAAGAAAAAAAAAATTAGTCAGCTTTGTCTCCTTGTGTGGGTCCCACAAAGAAAAGAAGAAAGCAGCAAGTTGTGTGTGGGCTGCACATTCACGCCCGCTGGGCGCGTTTAGAGCTTGTAATTTATCATTTTTTATTTTTTTGAATTTTGCAGACATTTCGTTTTTTATTTTTTAACCTCCTTCTCCCATTTTCTCTTTACTAATCACACTTACAAAAACTCCTCAAAAACCACACCAAAACCTGCACTATTGTCGGTGCCCTAAGAAGCTGAAGAATGTTAAAAACAAAAAATAAAATGAAATTCAAAACTTGAATTTGGGCGCCCAGCTGGAGACTGATCGGTCAAGACCGATCGGTGGGTGCCTGGAAGCGTGACCTGTCGGCCCTTACCGACCAGTCACCGCTCGCACCGACTGGTTAGCATCCAGATGGTTGATCGATCGGATAAAAAAAGTCTCTTTTAACAATCACCTTCCTCAACCCTTGAGCAAATTAAATGTGTTAACTTAATTTCCTAAAATACTGACTTCGCGAAATCTCAAAAAAGTGGGGGACTGGATGATAGATGGCATACAAGGCTTTGGCCACATGGACAAACCAAAGAGAATAACTGAACCAAGAAAGTCCAAGGAATACACCCAATATGGAACAACTTAGAGCAATCGTTATACCGTGCACCAGGGCGCACATAGCAATGTGCGGCCCGCGCCTCCCAAAACGACGTCGTTTTGTATTCTGTTATAAAATTATGTATTTTCAGGTATAAAATTCTGTACATTCGAAACTGGGTTTGTCTTTTTTAAAAAAGATTATGTGTTTTCAGGTATAAAATTATGTGTTTTCAGGTATAAAATTATGTGTTTTCTATGATATAATTCTGTACCTTCGAAACATGGGGATTTTCAGTTATAAAAATTATATGTTTTCAAATATAAAATTATGTGTTTTCTATTATACAATTGTGTACATTCGAAACATGATTTTTTTTTTAACAGCAAACACGCGAAAATATCAAAACGACGTCGTTTTGAGCCATGGCGCACAATGCACTGTGCGCCCTGGTGCACGATATAATCTGCCAACTTAGAGGGCAATTTATATCCTACACTGCGACGCGCGTTGCATTGTGCGCCCAGATGCAAAATGACGTCATTTCAGATTTTTTTTTTTTTTTGAAATTTCGCTACCCAGTGTTTGGTGGTTAATTTTCCTTGAAAAAAAAAATCTAATGTTCAAAAATGTACATAATGTTATACATGAATGTACATAATTGTATACATGAATATACATAATTGTATAACAAAATATACATACTGTTTTTTAAAAGATAATACACATAATCTAACATAATACATAATAAACATAAACTTTTAACATATAATACACATCAACTCTTAACATAATACACAAAAAATTTCTGATTCGGATGTACATAATTGTATAAAAAAAATGTACATAATAAAAAATATACATAATTGTATGAACAAATATACATAATCACAGCAACTTCCTACCGCGCCTCTCAAAACGACGTCGTTTTGGGAGGCGCGCGGCGCACAGTGCTACGCGCGCCGTGGTGTAGGGTATAACGATTGAACTTAGAGGCTTAATTAATATGTTTGGACTTAGTATTTATTTATAATGTAATAGGAATTAGGGTTTATTATTCGGCAAATTATGTTGTGCATCCGTATGCACCCTGCATGGTGCATACGGATGCAAAAACGACATCGTTTTGCATAAAACGCGCGCCCTACTTTAAAAAAAAAAAAAAAAAATCAGTTTCGATTCTCAGCAACAACATTATGTTATTCATTTTTAGTTCATTCATTTTGGATTTTTTAGTTTGAAATTCTGGAAGTGTAGTTATGCAATTCTGGAAGTGTAGTTATGCAATTCTGGATGTGTAGTTATGAAGTTATGGATGTGTAGTTATGCAATTCTGGAATTATAGTTATGCAATTCTGGAGGTGTAGTTATGCAATTCTGGAAGTGTAGTTATGCAATTCTGGAAGTATAGTTATGAAATTATGGATGTGTAGTGAAATTATGGATGTGTAGTTATGCAATTCTGAATTTTATTTTTTTTTAAGTTAGACACCAAAACGACGTCGTTTTTGCATCCGTATGCACCATGCATGGTGCATACGGGTCATGTAGCAATGACTCCCAATATGAGGCAGTCTGGATTCTTATAAGGCCCTAGGCCCAAAATATGTATAAATAGGACCCTTCATACATGAGGAAGGGGACAAGTATATCCTCTGTATTTTTCGATTTCCTATATTCTCGTTATTCTAACAGTCATGTTAGTCAACCGTTGACTATCCATAAGTCATAAAATCAACAATTCTCTTTTCACCTTAGTACAAAATATGCAAAATACTTCCATAAAAAACCTATTACCATTACCAAGTATTTTATTTTAGTAACATACACTATTAAATGATTAATTATTAAAAGACCCAAGTCCACTAGGAAAATCCCAACCAGGGTGTGTTTGGTTCATGAGTTTACACATTTGGAATGTGAATCAAAGTCACAGTTAGTTTTTGGTTGACAATTTTTTAAAACACAACAATGAAATTTTATTAACCTTCAATTAAAAATCACAATCGCTAATTAAAAAGGGTTGGGATACATTTCATCGTATTGATAATCAAGTTTTTAAGTTTGAATTAGTCCTTTCAGATTTTTATTTTAATATTTTTGTTCATAATGATGCGTTGGATGTCATTATATTATAATCAATTGTCTTGATTTTTTATTTTTGTATTTTTAAAACATTTATTCACATTATAAGATCGTACACAACCAAACATCAATATTAATAATCATTCCAATTCCATCGTACTACCAAACATGTAAAATATTTTCATCAAAACACATTACCATTACCAAGTATTTAATTTTCATTCCGATACGAATTGTCATGTGCGAAACAAACATACCCTCAATTTCACTAATGGCAAAACACCACAAATGCCAAAGAATAAGCCGTGGTTAACGCAGTTATTTCCAATGACTTGTGTAAGATCCTTTCTACACTGCAAAGTCATAGCCACAGCCAGTCTCAATCCCAAATCAACCAGTCAAGTCTTTCTGCTTTTTGTCTCTGACTATTAACCAAATTGGAGTCCTAAATTCCCACATTTCCTACTGTAAATGGTCCCCACCTCCATTATCCCAATGATTGTTTCCCCATCTTTTCCTTTGTTCCTCCCTTGTAATTTACTCAACCAATTCTAATAAGACATCCAAGTTCTTGACTCTTGTTCATGTCTGTGGAATGAATTCTAAGTCAATTGCCGTATTGAACACTAATCTGCAGCATAGAACAAACAAGAAGCAGATATAGAAAACCAGAAAGAAACCAAGACTTTGCATTTCTGAAGCTTATGACTGCAGGGTGGCCATGGATTCTTTCACCACCTTCTTTAGCTTGCTCCTCTATACCATAACGGTCTTTCTTCTCGATCAAGGAGCAGGCGAAAACCGGTCTGATTGCCCAACAGAGTTCTCCTGTGGAAGCCTCGGGACGGTGAAGTATCCGTTCTCCTCCAATATATCGGGACCCGAGTGTGGGCTGTTAAAGCTGGAATGTGATGCAGTTCCTTTACCAAGAATCCGAATAGGAACACGAGATTATTATGCCTATGGGAAGCTGGGAGACTACCTCAGTCTATATGATCCCGAGCTTGAACATATCGTGTTGAATCGTCCTAGATGCAAGTCTTTCGACACGAATATTTCCCTTCCAGTTTCCCCTTGGGTATCATTTCTCATCCCCCACAACTTCACTGTGTTCAAATGCCCAAAAACTCCCAATTTAACTCAACAGATGAACAATTTTGGGTATAGTAATCACACCAAGTGTAGAGGCTTCAGCCTGTTCTATATGCCTCCGGGTGAAGGTGATCCACTTCCCAATTTACCAAACCAGCATGACTTTCCACCCAACTGCTCACCCATTCTATTGCCATATGAGAAAGAATACACCACTGATGACTTGTTTGACATCATAAGTGTTACTTTCGTCCTAGAATGGCTGCTGTCCGAAGATTGTTCCAACTGTCAAAAAAGAGGTGGCCAATGTGTTACAACTGCAAATAACCAATTTCATTGTTCCAAACAAAGAGGTACAAAGGAACATTTATTATTCTTAGGATTAAGTTCTTAATTAGCTAGTAGTGAAGACACAATTTTATTTCCTTATATATTGACCGTTATCACATTTTCGAGAGGCAGGGTGTTGGACTTGACCTTTTACCTTCCTCCGCCCAACAATTCCCTAGACACCAATTGATAGACTTGGCCCTTTACTGGCCTCTGCCCAACAATTATGAGGGGGGGTGGGGGGGGGGGGGGTTATTAGTAGGTTTGATTAGTTGATATTATTAGCTAATTGCAAAAAGATGTTTGATAAATTAGGTGTTAGCTGATAGCTGATTATATACAAAATGACTTTCTCAAAAAACTGATCGAAAAAGCTGTTTTGAGCAACTTTTTT